AAGTGAAGTTCACTCTCGGGGATGACAAAGAGATCGTGCAGGCGAGAACGGCCTCCCTAATGGTTAGAACAATAAGCAGCAGATGCAGAGAGAGACGTCACAGCTCAGCAGCGTCCACCGCCAGATTAGACTTCCTTTAAATGCTAATGAATTGTAGCCATTGCTTATTTATAAGCAGTAAGTAAATAATTTACGAAACAGTTATACAGCTATTTACTAGAACAGAGTTCATAACCGGCCGCGGTGCTCCGAGCAGATCACCACTTCCTGTGCACGGGGACAGTGCATGTGTGTTTTAATCCCAGCAGCTCTGAGGCTCATTACTTATTAATCCCGGTTCTATTAGTCCGCAGCGTGAGAACAAAGCGGGTTCTGTGTGTGTGTATCAGGAGAAATCAGTGTGTTGTCGTCGTCATCATCGTCTTTACAGATCACAGACGTACAGCGTCTTAAAAACAGTGGCAGTGTGATCTGTGGGAACTGGATTCATGTGCGTGGACCTGGTGTTGGTGCAGGGAGTGAACAGAGAGTTAGCTGCAGGAGCGGACAGTGGGTTTGAATTTGTGCTGTGTGTTCACTTTGTCAGAGAGACGACGGCCGAGAAGAAGAAGCAACAAATCAGACTCTGTTTTTATTGAATGAATGCGAAATGAGGATTTCATGGGGGTTATGGTGGGAGGGTGGGGGTACAGGGGGGCTGTGGACAAGCGGGCAGGGGAGGTTCTTTCAAGCAGAGGTTTGTGTGATCGATTCCCGACTTGATTCCTGCCCCCCACCCCTGCCAAAAGCAGTAGTGTAAAATACTTGGATGAATAAAGAAGTATTACACAAGTACAGACCATTTACTGTATGTTGAATATATGAAAGTGTTTGCCTCTGTGTGTACATTTACTGTATGTTGAATATATGAAAGTACTATTAAAAGTGTCTATTAAAGTACATGCACAAAATGATTGGTTCTGCTCCTGGAACACAGTAAAAACTTTTTTGTTTTGTGGAAGATGAAGTTGAACAACAGCCTTTAGTTGTGACAGAATCACAGACCAATGAAATCGAATCTAAAAAAAAAAAACGCTTCTTTGAACTTTAGTTTTAATATTTTCATTTTCATGTTTCCTCCCTAAGACTCTGAGTGTATCCGATTATTTAGCTGCTGTTTTTACTCCGGAGACGTAAACAGTTCTGCGGTGTTGTTGGTATAATTGTATTATTCACACTCGATCCCACTCCTGTATCCACTCTCCTGCTAACAGATTTGGTTTCAAGTCATCTGTGGGTGAAACCTGCGGCTCTTGTCCCCTTCAGGGACACAGTTGTGGATGTGATCATTTTTAAGCTTAACTCAGTTCTAAGGTAAAAATGTGCTCCAGCCAATCACAGAGCAGCTCTGCTCCTCAGGCCGATCTCCGTAGGTTTGGTATAAGATGCGTCTTTAGGAGCAAAGTGTTTTCTTTTGGGGAGGGGTGGGGGGGGGGGGGGGGGGCCCAAAACCATGGCACAGAAAAAGG